CCTGGACCCCCGACGAGCCAGCACCTCACGGAGAGCACCGCCTCCTATGTCACAAGCTGCGCCCCACGGTTCTCCTTGACTTCCCCGAGGCCTGGACCCCCGACGAGCCAGAACCTCACGGAGAGCACCTTGACGTTTTGATCCAACACCTCGACTTAGAGCTGGCGCGACGTGCGAACCGTGCCAAAGCTGAACGCATCAAGATATGGGCTGAGGGCGTCCGCGAGCCAAGCGGGCGAAAGGCGGCCTTATACGCACGGGCTGCTGACAGCTCGCCCACGGCGTATCTCCGCACGCCTACCACACCTGACGATACGCAACTCCACTGCGACACCAACGCCTTTAAACCTGACGAAGCTAGCACGGACGACAGCGACGCTGACACCGAAGATGGCGGCTTCAGCCCCAGCGACGGTAGTTCGCCCGACACGGACAGCGACGAAGACCACACTCGTGAACCACCACCTGCGCAAGTCCCCGACATTCTCCCTGCCAACGCCATTGTTGCTAACACCAAAGACATGCTTAAGCTCATGGTCGACACCTGGGAGCCCATCTTGGGCAGGTACCGAGCCCGTGCAGGACATGACGCCGAAGCCATGCCGACGTGGGCTGACTTCTACGACGAGTACCGACAAGAGCTGCCTACGCCATCACCAGCTACCCCTTTTCCACCTCACCGACGACCAACTCATCCACTTTATTCGCACCCGTTCACCGCGCCGTGCGGGGGGACTTGACGGCTGGACTACTAAGGAGGCTAAGGAGTTACCCGACGACATCCTTCGCCTCTTCGCCAGCGTCTTACGCGCTATGCAACGCACTGGCACCATCCCAGAACCCCTCCTTCATGTGCCAAACCCGTGCCTCCGGAAAGGCCGAGGCGAACTCCCAACGGACCAACGACTTCTCTCGGTGCTTTCCGTTTGGATGTATGCGTGGGAAGCGCCAGCTTACCGCAGCCTCACGGACTGGCGGAAAGGATGGACCCACGCCACAAGTTTTGGCGCTGTCCCCAAAGCTACCATTGGGGACGTCAGCACCTCTCTTGCCCTGCGCATCGAACACGCCAGGGCCTTACTCCTTCCCTTGGCTGGAGCTGCCCTGGACCGACAGAAGTGTTTCGACTACCTCATCACGGACATCTGCCTTAACCTTGCGCTTCACGCGGGGTGTCCCCAAGACATCGTTACTGTCCGCAGAAACTTCTACAGTCGCCACAAACGCTACATCCGCATGAACGGTGCGTACTCTAAGGTACTGGCCAGGACAAACGGTCACCTCCAGGGAAGCTCTTGGTCCCTGGACGACATTAAGCTGCTCATGTGTGTGTGGACCAAGAGACAGCATCGATACGTTCCGCGATAACTCAGCACTACCTTTGTTGACGACAGCAACTCCACTACCCACACCGCGCCTGAGTTGCAGAAATCTCTTGATGAAACCGCCAAGTTTGATCTATTTTCAGGTCAACGCATTCACCCTGGCAAAGTGGCGGGGTGGGCGCTCACCGACGAGCTTCACGCCGCCGTTACCCAGCTCACTCTGGCGGAACGGCCCTTACGCGTGGTCGACTCCTTCAAGCTCGTCGGGAGTACATCAACGCCGAGGCAGCGCCGGCTCCAGCCGCGCTTAACCTCACGGCCACCGCTGACGCCCGTGTTCGGAGGGCGACTAGTCGCCTGCTGCGCATTGGCAAGCTCCCATCGCCGATGCTTATTAAGGCGCGGCACGCCCGTTCCCTTGCTGCCAGCGTCTGTACCACGGGCACCGACATTCAAGCCCCATCAGGCCCCGTCAAATCTGCCTACAACCATGCCCTTAAGGCGGCTATCCGCCCCAAGGGAAACAGGTGGGTCGAGTTTTGGACTCTCATGGCCGTGTGCGTCCCAGGACACGCCCTGGAGATTGACGCCATTACGCAGCGTGAAGTCTTCCTGTGTCTGCGGCGACAGATTAACCGCGACGCTACTCTCTGCGGTCTCGTCAGGGATCTCCAACACCATGTTCAGACCCTATTTGGGGGAGGACCTGTCGGACGACTTGTCCAGACGCTTCAGCAGCTCCGTTGGACCTGGCCCACATTTGGCATCATGTACGACGACTGGGGCTGTCAGTTCAGTTGGCTGAACTTACCCCAAAACGCCTTCCTTCACATGCTGCGAGCCTCACAACGCAGAGCCTTTCTGAGAAAGATCAAGCCACGGCGTCATGACCTTGGACACCTAGCCTCTGTCAGACAGGGCCTCGACCTCTTCGCCAGCACGTGGCTCGCCCGAACGAAAGGAGCAGCCAAATGCAATGCCTGGCAGCTGGCGCTCCTCCTGAACTACCTGTCGGGCGGGGACCACACCAAACAGCGACGATCCCGATCAAACACGTCTGCTGACCCCAGCCCCATCTGCCGATACTGCGACGAGGAAGAGGAAACTCAGGAGCACACTGTCCGCGACTGCAAGTGCTGGGCCCGAGAAAGACTCCCTCTCACCACCCTCATCAGTGACTCAGTGACGAGCAGTGGGCCCGTCTTCCGCCGCACACAAGACACTGCGGGCTCTTCGATGAAGACCCAGCCCTCCTCGACCTGCAGGCCGACCTCGCGAGGGACCCGCTACCTCAGCCCATACCGCGGCCCCCACCTGAGGGAGAACCTGCGGCTTCAGCCCAGGACTCCTACACCACCTACCTTGACCACGACACTGGTTGGACATGGGTCTACGCTGCCACGGACGGTGCATGCACCAACCAAGCCATCCCATTGCTAGCACGAGCGGGCTACGGCGACTACTACGGCATCGACCACCGCATGAACTACAGTGCACGCGTTCACGGCATTACGCAGAACGCACAGCTTGCGGAGACCCTCGCCATTGTCACCTCACGGCATGTGCTGAACGGCCCGTACACGTTTTCGTGGACAACCAGGCGGTGGTCGATGGGTTCCAAAGTATCATCGACGGACACTCAGCACCGCAGGGCACGCACGTGGAGCTCTGGGAAAAGATCCACCGATGCGTCATGGCCAAGCCCAACATGTTCCGCGTCGAGAAAATCGCTAGCCACCTGGGCGACATGGGCATCGACCTCGGGCTCATCGGGCCCATCGCGGAGGAGTTCAATCGTCAGGCTGACGCCCTCGCCACAACGGCGGCACGTACTAATAACCTTCCAGACGACATTGTCGAAGCTGCCAAAACACGACATCGCCAAGCGACCGTGCTTCATGGAGTCGCTGTCGCCATCTACGAGCGTAGACACCGTACACTCCCCCTCCCACACCGCAGGGCTGGGTTCACAGCTGCGGAACTCAACAAAATGGAACAAATCCCCTGCTGTCTGACCAGGCACCACCCGCGGCTGGACCAGACATCCCACAGAACCCGGACGAGCTCTGGGCCGAGGCCCAACGGGCGATATTCGACGAACAGGAGGACGACCCGTTCGGCTTTGGTGGGGGCCTTGACTTCCTGGGCGACGGGCAGCCAGCGCCAACCCTGCCCCGTCGGGCACCCGCACGGCGCCCTCGACTCCGCCATTGAGAGCGGCAGCGCACCCACATGACAACGCCGCTCACTTTCAAGACGCTGACGAACAGGAGGATGACCTGTTCAGCTTCGGTGGGGGATCGGACGCTTTGGGCGACGGACCAGCCAGCGCAAACCCTGCCCCGTCGGGCAACCTCTCGATCCCTACTGCGACTCCGTCCCCGAGAGCGACATCGCCCACATACGATGATATCGGCCACCGCCAAGACGCCGACCACGACCTGGGTGACCCCCGCGGACTGAGTGGCATAGAGGACGCACCGCCGATACCCCACGCTGCCGACCATGCCGCCCCACCGAGACGCCAACCTTCTACGCGACCGACCTCAGAGCCCTTGCACGGCATCATGATTGGTCCCACCGCGCAAACCACTCCGCCCCCCCACCGGCGGCAGCCCGCGGGGGCGGCTTCAGCCCCCCCGCAGGGCACTAAACCAGACAGGCCCTCGTGCCCCGTCCACGCTTCCATCGTTGCTGAGCGAGAGCAAGCGGCTCTCCCAACCTCTCGGGGCGTGGCCCTAGCGGCTCCAGCCCTGGGGTCGCGTGTGCCCCTCCAGTCACCCTTCAAGGGTGACGGACGACAGCGTACAGGGTGCCGCACTACGCTAGTCCACCATTTGGACAGGCGTACCGTGGACCTCGCCTCTGTCTCGAGGCTCTCGGCCGCTGGCACTGAGCAGCCACCCCTCACCGACCGCGAAACCGAGCTGTCCCAGGCTATGGCTGCTCTCCAGCAGAGGTGCGTTGCTCTCGCCGCGGACCTCGCCGCCGCCCAAGCTCGCCAAGGCCCTCTTCTCCAGCGCCTTCACAGCGCTGGGCGAGCCTTTGCCGAGCTGCTCACGGCCTCGCCCGATGGTGCCGCGCCGTCACTCACCATCCAAGCTATGCTGTCACCGTTCCGCGGCGCTCCACCTGGTGCCCCGCGCTAATCTCCTCCTTTCTGCCTGCCCGTGTGTACGCGTGGCTCCGCGTCCACGGTGTCAGGGCGTGGGGGCGGGGGGAGCCCCGTCACTGCGCGCCGCTTTGCGGCCAAGCGCCCAACTGGCGGTCTGCCAAGCCGCCTAGCCACGTGTCAGCACGTCGCCTTTCTTGTGGGGGCCTCTTTCCTTACGCGGTCTGACAGGTGAGATCATCATCGTCTGTCCGCCGTCTGTAGCGTCTGTCGCACTGCGCCGGGGGAGGGGTTTTTTGTTGCCCGCCCTCGTATCTAAAGGCTGCACCGCCGCAAATAGTGTCTGCGAGTTGTCGCACCGCAGTGCGCCTCGCGGACGGACCCTGGTCCGCCTACTTGTCCGACCTCCTCCTCCCTCCTCCTCCCCCGTCCTCCTCCTCCTCCTCCTCCTCCTCCTCCTCCTCCTCCCTCCTCCGCCTCTGCGCAACCCCGAAGCCTTGCCAAGCGCCGACGTCGCCCCGCCTCGGCCCCGCCCCGCCTCGGCCTCCTGCCCCGCCCCGGAGGTGCGCGCCTCCGCGGAGGGGCTGCTGGAGGTGGACGCGGAGATCGCGACGGGTGGCTGGGCAGGGCGGGCAGGGGAGGGGAGGGGCGAGGGGGGAGGGAGGGAGGGAGGGAGGGCGGGAGGGAGGGAGGGAGGAGGGGGATGGAGGGATGGCCGGGGAGTGGGGGGGGGGGGGGGGGGGGGGGGCGGGAGGGAGGGGGAGTGGGGAGGGCGGGAGGGAGGGACGGAGAGTGGAAGAAGGGCGGGAGGGAGAAATGCGGAATGGAGGAAGGAGAGCGAGGGAAGGAGGGAGTGGGGGAGGTGAAGAGGAGGAGGAGGAGGCCGGAGGTAGGAGGAGGAGGAGGAGAGGAGGAGAGGAGGAGGACGAGGAGGCCGAGGAGGAGGAGAGGAGGAGGAGGAGGAGGGAGGAGAGGAGGAGGAGGAGGAGGAGGAGGAGGAGGAGGAGGAGGAGGAGGAGGAGGAGGAGGAGGAGAAGGAGAGGGACCAGTGTAAACCCAAGACGCATCAACGATGATGCAATATACCCTTTCTCCAAGCTCTTTCTTCGCAGGTCCCTGCGGGACATGGCTATCACTAAAGGATTGTGGGGAGTGCCCCATTAAAAGACAACCGTCTGAGAACCATCAGGGGTGCCAAAACACGTCTCGAATCAAGGTGACTGTATAGCGATGTATTGTGATGGTTGCGTTATGAATTCTAGATCGTGCCAGAACACCGTTCCTGGAACTTCAACCGTACGAATCTGTGAAGCTGTTGCGCGGCGCAAAGATGAGAACACCATTTTGAAAAGGAATTCGCCCTCAATGTTTCAACTTGTTGCATACGTTCGAGACGAATGTTCGCGGCGCCAAGGCAAGAACCACATGCTGAAAGGGAACATACTTGCGTATTTCAAGATGTTGTAGACTTGAAGACGCGTATGCGCGCCGCTCTTTGAGAGCCACAGTCTGAAAGTCATCGGCCCTCCATATGTGAAATGGTGGTGACCTTGAAAGACGTATGTGGGTGGCACTGAGGCGAGAGCCAGATCTTGAATGGGAGCCGCCTTCCATCCTTGAAGAGGTGGCAATATTTTAGGACGAATGCGCGCGGCGCTAAGGCGAGAGCCACATTTGGAAATCCACCCGCCATCCATCCTTCACGTTGCACGGGTCAAGCTTCAGGATCACACATCATGAGATAGTCTCAGGCCAATGCCCAGCCCGCCCTACCGACACGTGCAGGGGTGCGGCATGGAGGAGTTTTTTATTAGAGGAAGGGATGGTGATGATGTTGCTGCTGCTGATGATAATGCTGATGATGATGATGCTGCTGCTGATGCTGATGATGAAGATGATGATGACCATGACGATGACATCGGCGACGCTGACGACGACGAGACGGACACCCCTACTCTGCCCGCCCGAACGGGCGCCAATCCAAAGAAAGGTCGAAGTTCAACGGGCATCGCAAGTTGGCCAAACGCATCCAGAACATCATTCTGACCCAGCTCGGCAGTGAGATCGGCGGCGGCAAAACGACGAGAGAAGGAGTCTCCGGGGGCGAATCGGGTCTGCCGAGGGTCCTTACACCAGCAGCAAGACCTGCGAGCATCAGTAATGAGGCCCTGAGGCGTTGCGTTCCCCTCTCCTTCCCGACGCCGAGCAGTCCGCGCGTCTCGACCACCCCGAGAGAGTACCACTCAACCACTCTCATCGTCGATCCCCAGGAACATATGCGAAACTATGGGAAGGCGGGGGGGAAGACAACAACCCCAAAAATATGGGAAACTATGGGGAATCTGGTTATTTGTGTGTATTTATTTGTGTGTTCCAGGGCCCCTTCGTGTGTATTTGTTTGTTTGTATTTGTTTGTGTGTATTTGTTTGATCATTTGGCGAAACAACCACGCACGAAACCGAAAAAAACACAGGGAATGGACGTCCGAGCGATGGCCAGTTCCTTTGCTCGGCATCGATGGCAAGGGGCGTTCGTGCGCGCGCGGGCGACGCAGGCAAAGGACCCCCACGCACGGTCGGCGCGGGGCTCCCTCGAGGCTCAGACGCCTGGTGATGCGGTTCGGGTTAAGTCGGGCCTGTCCCCCTACGGGGATTTTCGACGAAGAGTAAAACATACCCCAAACATAGTCAAACAATAGTCCAAACATAGTCTGGGGATTATTTTTGTTGGTATTTTTTTTACCTTTTTGGTGTATTGTTGGGGCATTTTTCATTTTTCGTCGAAAGTACTCCTGTAGGGGGACACGCCCGACATAAGGTTAGGGTTCGACTGCGTGGCCCGAAATCCGTGGGGACGCACAGGGCGAAGTCGACCCCAGCAGCAACTTACCCGGGATGCACGGGGCGAAATCGACCCCAGCAGCCTTTAACGCTGCAAGCCGCTATCCTGCGCGTCATCCCCTCTCCCCTCCCCCTCCCTCATCCACCCCCCACGCTGCCATGTATAGTTCTTCAGTTTTTCCCTCCCGACTCATTCTCATCCATCATCGTTTTCATTCCCTTCCACCTTCTCCGAGAGGAGCGACGTCGACGCGGACAGTGACGACGACGACGACGACGGCGACGACGCCGACGAAGCCCGCGGCGGCGGCGACAGCAACGGCGACGGCGATGACGATGACGGTGACGACGACAGTGACGATGCTGGTAGTGATGCTGATGATGTTGATGAGGATGATATTGATGAGAATCGTGATCATTGTTATGGCGACGATTGGTGATGTTGGTGATGATATGGTGGGTGATGATGATGGTGATGATGATGGTGGTGGTGGTGGTAATGATAATGTTGCGGCTGATGATGATGCTGATTATGCAGATGATGGTGATGATGTTGGTGATGAGGATGACGACGACGATGACGATGATGACGATGATAATGAAGATGACGATGCTGATGATGATGACGATGCTGGTGATGATGATGATGCTGATAATGGTGATGATGGTGATGGCGATGGTGATGATGATTATGCTGGTGGTTATGAGGCGGATGACGCTGATGAGGAGAAGGAGGAGGCGATGGATGACGAGAACGATGGGACTGCTGCTGGTGATGCTGATGACGCTGATGCTGCTGCTGATGCTGATGCTGCTAACGATGATGCTGCTGATGCTGGTGATGATGGTCAGCAGGAGGATGACGAGGAGTACGAGGATGATGATTATGCTTCTGATGATGATGCTGATGATGCTTCTGCTGATGATGATTATGATGATTACTCTGATGCTGATGCGGATGCTGATGCTGTTGACGATGCTGACGCTGATGCTGATGATGATGATGGTGATGGTTGCGATGCTGATGATGCTGATGAGAATGACGATGCTCATGCTGATGCTGATGTTGGTGATGATGATGCTGATGCTGATTAAGATGATGCGGGTGACGATGCTGCTGACGAAGAAGATGATGACGACGATGCTGCTGACGGTGATGATGATGCTGTTTCGGTTGCAGATGGTGATGATGATGATGATGATGATGATGATGATGATGATGATGATGATTATGAATCTGCTGATGCTGATTATGCTGATGTTGATAGTATTGATGATGTTGCCGATGATGGTGTTGATACTGATGATGATGCTGATGATGGTGATGATGCTGATGATGGTTATGATGCTGATGCTGATGTCGATGGTGATGGTGATGATGCCGATGATAAAACTATTGCTGATGATGATGCTGGTGATGATGCTGACGGTTATGGCGATGCTGATGATGATGATGAGGATGAGGATGATGATGATGGTGCTGCTGACGACGACGGCGACGATACTGATGATGAGGATGATGGTGCTGCTGCTGCTGCTGATGATGAGTCTGATGATGATGATGATGCTCATGATGTTGATGATGGTGATGATGCGGATGCTTATGGTTATGGTGATGGTGGTGATGCTTATGATGATGAGTATGATGATGAAGACGATGATGGTGACGATGATGATGCTGGTGCTGGTGATGATGATGATGATGGTGGTGGTGATGATGATGCTGATGATGCTAATGATGAGGATGCTGATGATGATGATGCTGACGATGACGATGCTGCTGCTGATGATGATGATCATGCTCTCGCTGCTGCTGGTGCTAATGATGATGATGATGATGAATGGTTATTCTGCTGATGTCGATGCCGATGGTGATGGTGATGATGCTGATGATGAAACTAGTGCTGATGATGATTTTGATGATGATGCTGATGGTGATGGCGATGCTGATGCTGATGATGATGATGATGACGATGATGCTGATGATGATGTTGCTGCTGACGACGACGCTACTGATTATGAGGATGATGATGCTGCTGATGATGATGAGTATGATGCTGATGCTGATGATGTTGATGATTGTGATGATGCTGATGCTTGTGATTATGGTGATGGTGATGATGCTTAGGCTGGTGAGTATGATGATGAAGACGATGATGGTGACGATGCTCATGATGATGCTGATGATGATGATGATGTTGATGCTGATGATGATGCTGATGATGATGATGAGTATGATGATGATGATGCTGCTGATGATGTTGATGATGGTGATGATGATGATGGTGATGATGACGATGATGATGATGACGATGATGCTGATGCTGCTGATGATGATGATGGTGGTGGTGATGATGATGCTGATGATCCTAATGACGATTACGCTGATGATGATGATGCTGATGACGACGATGCTGCTGCTGATGATGAGGATGATGATGTTGATGATGATGATGATGATGATGATGATGATGATCATGGTGATGATGATGATGATGATGATGATGATGATGATGATGATGATGATGATGATGATGATGATGATGATGATGATGATGATGATGATGATGATCATGCTCTCGCTGCTTCTGGTGCCCTGATGATGAGGAGGCGGAGAAAGGAGGAGGAGGAGAGCAGAGGAGGAGGAGGAGGAGGTGTTTCAGAGGAGGAGAGAGGGATAAAATTCGGGTGTGCTACCCACGACAGACAGCAGCCATGGGAGTGTCGCACGATGGGAGGAGGAGAAGGAGAAGGAGACGAGGAGGAGGAGGAGGAAGAGGAGGAGAGTAGGGGAGGAGGAGGAAGAGGAGGAGGAGGGGAGGAAGGAGGAGGAGTGAGGAGGAGAGGAGGAGAGGAGGAGAGGGAGAGAGGAGGAGGAGGCGAATGAGGAGGAGGAGGAGGGAGAGGAGGAGGAGGAGGAGAGAGGAGAGGGAGGAGAGAGGGGGAGGAGGAGGAGAGCAGGAGAGGAGGACGAGGAGAGGAGGAGGAGGAGGAGGAGAAGGAGAGGAGGAGGAGAGAGGAGGAGGAGGAGGAGGAGGAGGGAGGAGGGAGAAGGGCGGAGGAAGGAGAGAGGAGGGCCGAGCAGGAAGGAGGAGGAAGGGGAGGAGGAGGAGGAGGAAGAGGAGGGAGGAGAGGAGGAGGAGGAGGAGGAGGAGGAAGAAGGATCCCGCTCGGTTGCGGATTTCTTTTGACTTCCAGGCCCTTGGGGACCTTTGGAGGCCTCGGGGGGCTAGGAGGTTCCTCCTCGTCGTCCTCGTGCGCGTCCAAGTCTTCATCTCCTCATGGGGGTGGGGTGGTATGGGGGGCAGGATGAGGCTCAGGAGGAGGGAGACAGGCGGCGGAAGAGAGGTAGCCACCGGGTAAAGAAGAAGGGGGGCGAGGAGGGGGACAAGGACAAGTGAGGAGGAGAGGTGAGGGAGGATAGAGAGGGCATGGGAAAGGGACAGAGACAGAGTGAACATATCATTGAGAAGGTATATGTTTGAAGTACGAGTGGTGCGAATGAACTCTGAGGGAGGAGAGGGTGGTAGAGGAGGGGGAGGAGGAGCAGAGTGAGGAATGAGGAACGAGGAGCGCGAAGTCAGTATTGATGCGGACGTGACTGGTCGCGCAAACCATCCTTGTCTTGTGGGTGCAGAGTGCATGACACCGTAACAGCCATGCTGACAAGCACGATGATGCTGATGATGACGATGCTAATGCTGCTAATGATGATGCTGATGGGGATTATGATGGTGGTGGTGATGATACTGCTGATGATGCCGATGCTGACGACTACGACGACGTCGATGGTGATGTTGATTATCCTTATTCTGATTTGATTGATGCTGATGGTGATGTTGATTATACTGATGATGATGTCGATGATGATGCTGATGATGATGACGGTGGTAGTGATGATGACGACGATGCTGATGATGATGATGCTGATGCTGATGATGATGATGATGATGAGGATGATGTTGATGATCATGATGATACTGTCGATGATCATGACGCTGACGATGCTGCTGCTGATGATGGTGATGGTGGTGATGGCGACGGTGATAGTGATGATGATGCCGATACTGGAGATGTCGGTGCGGGGGAGATGCCGATTGTCGAGGAGGAGCGGGAGACACGCTGACGTGAAGCCATTTCTGAAATTTATGTTGACGTTGGCGATGCTGACGATGATGAGGTGGACGACGGATGATCATGCTAAGGACGATAACGCGGAGGATTAGACAGCGACAATAGATACGAAGAGGTCGATAATAATGATGTTGATGATGATGGTGATTGAACGCGCAGGAGGCAAGAGTGAGGATGATGGGGAGGATAATCATGAGGGACAAAGAGAGGAGCAGGAGACGGATGACAAGGACAAGGACACGGACCTGGACGACGATGTTGTGAACCCCATGATAACGATGCTCATGGCGACAATGGTTGTCATTGCGATGGTTATGATAACAAAGACGATCACGATGATGGTGTCGATGACGTTAATGATGCTGCTGATGACGATGACGATGGCGACGATGATGACGATGATGATGATGATGATGATGGTGATGATGATGATGGTCATGCTAATGATGCTGCTGATGTTGATGATGACGACGGCGATGGTGATAATGGTGGAGGTGGAGGTTGTGATGGTGGTGGTGGTGGTGATCATGGTGAGGAGGTGGAGGAGCACGAGGATGATGATGAGGATGATTGTGATGATGGTGGTTATGGCGAAGATGGTGGTGATGATGCAGATGAGGAGGAGGAGGAGGAGGAGGAGGAGGAGGAGGAGGAGGAGGAGGGAGGGGAGGGGGAGGAGGAGGAGGAGGGGGAGGGGGATGGGAGGGAGGAAGAGGAGCCTCGTCGTCGTCTTCGTCGTCGTCCTCCTCGCCCCTCCTCCGCTCCCACTGAGGTCAGGGGAGGGGCCCCTGAGGCAGGCCGTGGGCGAGAGCCCAGCGGCCCTGCATTCCGTACCATTCCGCAGGTGAGCAGAGACGTTCGCCCGCCCTGCTCTGCCCTGGCTGGGGTCGAGGTCATCCCCGAAGCGCCTCTACCTTCATTTCTCCTCCTCCTCCTCCTCCGTGTCCTCCTTGTTCTCCTCCTCCTCCTCCTCCTCCTCAAAGAGGCCCCTTATGTTTCCTGTGTGTGGACTCCTGCGCACCTCAAGTTCGAGGAAATCTTGGAGCGAGGGCTTGTTCCTGTCGCTTGGATTGGTAATGCTTGGGCTGACCTGTTTGCGAAGCTGGCATCGACGCGTGTCATGGTTGCTCGTACGTGTGCGGAGGCAGTGGCGGGTGAGCTCAAGTTTCATCAGGCCACTGTTGAGTATATATATATATATATATATATTGGGCTGCTGCCGGAGATATCAGGCTTATGAGATGGACTGACACGACGCCGCCGTTCCCTGATCCCTATAAGCACCCTCCGCTGCCGCGGCTCACCTTGCACGGACCCTCCCTTGTGCAGACTGAGGCCACGAGTGAGGTGCGATGCGCTGCGTGTTTTGTAGGAGCCTGGATGACCAGCACGTTGAATCATCTGTGCAATGGCCCATCCAAGTTTTGTCGGCTCACGGCTGTCACGGCCTAAAAAAGCCAAGAGTGGTTCCGTTCTTGCGGGACTAGAGCTAGGCCTTTGAAGGCCGAGGCTCTGGCGAAGGCAGACCAAGCGCTTGTGGCTGCTGGTATGCTTCCGCCGCTCCCCCCTCCTGGGGACCCGTCTGGTGAGAAGGGGGCCGAAGCCATTCGCTTTTTTGAATGAGCGTGGACATTCGGCCCAGAGGACAGGCCGAGTTATTATTTGTGCGACGTGTGCTGGGTTTCTCGTGCTGCCGCATGGGGTCAAGCGTGCTTTGAAGGCTCCTTGCACGGGGCCGTCCACTGTCCCCTTGACTCGAGACAAGCAGCTACGCAAGATTGCCAAGGCTGCTAAAGGTTTGCATCCAACCAAAGGCGAAGTTCTGTCCGAGCCTGGCGCCGCTTCGACCGACCCAGGGCCTGGCCTGCCGTCTATGCCCCTCCGAACGGAGGAGGCTGACTTCGGGAGGGTGGAGGCTCGGGTGAATCGGGCGGCGGATGGGAGTTCCGACGACTCTGACTAATGGATGGCCCCGGCGTCGACGACGACGGCTTTTCCGTGGCCTCGGCCGATACCCGCTGCTGCCCATGGCGGCAGCACTAGCCTCAGCCTGCGGGCGTCCGTTCCCCTGCGGACGCTCTCCAGTCGGCGCCCGCCTCCTCCTCCTCCTCCTCCTCCTCCTCCTCCTCCTCATCATCATCATCATCATCATCATCCTCTTCCTCTCCCCCTCGGTCCCCCATAGGCCTCCGGAGGTCCTCCTCGATGCGAAATTTCTCTGCGATTTCCTCCTCACTTCTCGGAGGCCTCGGCGGGTGTGCCCCGGAGATCCTGCGGAGGTCCGGAGGCCTCTGGAGCTGTCTCCCCGCTCCTCCCCGCTCCTCGCCGCTCCTCCCCACTCCGATGATCCTCAGGACGTGTGACCGCCCAAGCGCGTGTTTATCCATCTCCGCTCCGCCGATGGCGCGCATGATCCGCGCTTGCCTGCGCTGCCCTGCCTGCGTCGTGCTGAAGGGTTCCGACGGATGAGCACGCGTTGGCGCTGACTCACGCTCGGAAGATCATCGACCACTCCTCTGGAGGTCCTCCGACCGTCTTGCCCCCCACTCCTCCCCACTCCTCCCCACTCCTCCTGCTCCTCCGACTTCTCCTGACCTGCCGTGAGACTTCACCATCGTGCTTGCTTGTTTGGCCTCTTGGCCGTACTCCGCCGCCCTCTGGGCGCCCTTGCTGCCCACGTTGGCGCCATCACGCGCTCTGAAGATCATCGACCACTCCTCTGGAGGCCCCCCCGACCGTCTGGCGGACGACGGCGGCGGCGACGACGCTGGCGGCGGCGGCGGCAGCTTCGACGGCGACGACCTCCCCGCTCCTCCCCACTCAGGAGGAAAAGAAACACACAGACACAATTAATCTTCGACTCCGGGAAAATATGGGAAGTGGGGGGGAAGACAACAACCCAGAAAGTATAAGAAGATATGGGGGATCCTGTTATTGGTGTGTACTCATTTGTGTGTCCTTGGGCCCCTTGACCCACTCCTTCCGGCCGCCAGCCTGCGGCGCGCCCCTGTGGCAGAGGCGGCTCCGCTCCCTGCGCGGCCCTCCAGTGCGAGCTCTTCGGCGCCGACGGGGTGGCGCGCGCGCGCGCGCGAAGCGACGGGGCCCCGGCGCGCCGTCGACGAGGTTCGAGGCCGCGGAGGAGGAGGAGGAGGAGGAGGAGGAGGAAGCATGACGAGCATGACGAGGAGGAGGAAGGCGGAGGAGGAGGAGGAGAGGAGGAGAGGAGGAGGACGATGAGGGACGAGGAGGAGGACGAGGGAAGGACGAGGAGGAGGACGAGGAGACGAGGAGGAGGAAGGGGGTGGAGGAGGGGGAGGAGGAGGAGGAGGAGGAGGAGGAGGAGGGAGGAGGAGGAGGAGGAGGAGGAGGAGAGGAGGAGGGAGGAGGACGAGGGAGGGGAGGAGGAGGAGGAGGAGGAGGAGGAGGAGGAGGAGGAGGAGGAGGAGGAAGGATAGGAGGAGGACGGAGGGCCGGGAGGAGGAGGAGGAGGAGAGGGAAGAGGAGGGAGGAGGAGGAGGAGGAGGAGGAGGAGGAGGAGGAGGAGGACGACGAGGAGGAGGAGGAGGAGGAGGGGAGGAGGAGGAGGAGAGGCGGGAGGAGTGAGGAGGAGGAGGAGGAGGAGGATGAGGAGGAGGAGGGAGGAGGAGGAGGAGGAGGAGGAGGAGGAGGGAGGAGGAGGGGAGGATGGAGAGGGAGGAGGAGGAGGAGGAGAGGTAGGAGGAGGAGGGGAGGGAGGAGGAGGAGAAAGGACGAGGAGGAGGAGGAGGAGGAGGAGAGGAAGGAGGAGGAGGAGGAGGAGAGGAGGAGGAGGAGGAGGGAGGAGGAGGAGGAGGAGGAGGAGGAGGAGGAGGAGGAGGAGGAGGAGGAAGAAGAAGACGAATAATAATAATAAGAAAAAGAAGAAAACTAAGAAGAATAAGAATACTAAGAAGAAGCAGAATAAGCAGACTAAGCAGAATAAACATAAGAAGCATACGAAGCAGACTAAGCATAATAAGCAGACTAAGCAGAATAAGAATAAGAAGAATAATAAGAACAATACTACTAAGAATAAGAAGAATAAAAATAATAATAATAAGAAGAATAATAAGAAAAAGAAGAAGCATCATAATAAGAAGAATAATAAGAATAATAAGAAGAGTAATAATAATAATAAGAAGAAGCATAAGCAGAAACAGAAACAGAAGCAGAAGCAGACGCAGAAGCAGAAGCAGAAGCAGACGCAGAAGCAGAAGAAGAATAATAAAAATAATAATAAGAATAATAAGAAGAATAATAACAATACTAAGAATAATAATAATAATAATAATAAGAAGAAGCAGAAGAAGCAGACGAATAATAACAATAAGAATAAGAATAATAAACATAAGAAGACTACTAATAATAAGAAGAAGAAAAAGAAGAATAATAATAATAAGAAGAAGAAGACGAATAATAATGATAATAATATTAATAAGAAGAAGAACAAGAATAATAAGAATAATAAAAAGAAGAAGAATAATAAGAATAATAATAAGAATAATCAGAATGATACGAAGAATAATAAGAAGAATAATGAGAATAAGAAGAAAAATTAAGAATAAGAAAAATATTAAGAATAATAAGACGAATACTAATAATAAGAAGAATAAGAAGAATAATAATAAGAAGAAGAAGAATAAGAAGAAGAAGAAGAAGTGATTCTGACACCCTCCTCCGTGTACCTATTTTGGCTCAAGATGAAAAGAGATCTTGTTGCTAATCAACACATTATCTCATCATGGTAGCGTGAGCTGGCCACTCACTGTTGCCAACCCACCAGGGCCTTGGCGCGCGCGGGCGCCACGGCGAGTTGGCAAGGCGCGTGGGCTGAGACCCGAGGCTGGAAGAGAGCGGCATCAGCCGCACCAAGCTCGGCAGCGGCCGGGCCACCGGCAGAGGCTGAGAGGAGACCACCGGCAGAGTCCGGGAGGAGTCGACCGGCAGGAGCCGGGAAGAGCGGCCGCAGGCGCGGCAAGAGGAGCGACGCAGCGGTTGAGAATAGACGCCGTCAGCTTCAGTTCAAACACGGCCTGAAGGACACAGGCAACAAGCTGCGCGACCTCGCGTATATCGAGGACCACCCGTCGGAGAATTCGTCGGGCGCCATCGAGGAGGCAAAGAAGGAGGTCTTGGATCAGATCATAGACCTCGAGCGCACGAGGCAGGAGATAGCTGAGAGCAAGGAGGAGCTCGCCAGGAGACACGCAGTCAAACATGGACGAGCAAGTTCGGCAGCAGTTCGACTTATTGAGGCAGGAGTTCGCAGCCCGAATGAGTCAGACCGTCGACGAGATGAGGAGGCTGGAGAACGAGAATCAACGGCTTCAGCAGCAAGTAGCAGGAGGCCTCGCGGCGATCCCGCAGGCGATCGAGCGCATGGGCGAGCAGATCCGAGGCGTTACGAACGCGGGAGGAGCCGCACCCGGTCTCGTCGACACGAAGGGGATCGGCAAGCCCACGACGCTAGGCGACGATCAGGAGAAGTTCGGAGCTTGGAACCGCAAGATGGAGAACTACGTGATAGGCGTGTACGGAGAGAGCTTCCGTCCTGTTCTCCGGTGGGCGGCAGAAGCCGAACGCCCCGTGACGATCGAAGGGGCACAGGAGGCGCACGGAGGGGTACCAGAGCTGGAGACCAAGATCAACCAGCTGTACGCGGCGCTGATCAGCACGACGGCGGACGGCAGCGAGAGCAACGACCTCGTGACGGGCGCACCCGACGGGAACGGTCTCGAGGCCTGGCGGAAGCTTCACCGCAGGTGGGACCCGACGACAGGTCCGTGGAAGAGGCTGATCCTGAGGTCGATCATCTCGCCTCCGAAGTGCAACGCGGAAGAGCTGGGGTCCGCCTTAGAGAAGTGGATCCAGCAGATAGGCAAGTACGAACGCCGCCAAGGAGAAGACGGGCTGGCCGAGTTGCCGGAGGATATCAAGATGGCGGCCCTCGAGATGCTCGTGCCTCAGGACATCGAGAACCACCTCGTACTCAACAAGCATCGGCTCGTGACGTTCCAGGACAGCCTGAACGAGGTAATGACGATCGTAGAGGCTCGGACAGGCGTGAAGATCAAGGAGCCATCGATCCGCGCACGGGCGCATCATCCGGACGACATGGACGTCGGATCGTTCGGGGCCCCGAAAGGAAAAGGCAAGGGCAAGGACAAGGACGGCAAGAGCAAAGGGAAAGGCAAGACCCAGGAGCCGAAGGGGAAGAGCAAATCGACGAGCGGATCATACTCAGGCTCCCGCACATCCCCGACGGGTTCGGGCCGTGGTTCAGGGCACATGGCACCCCGAAGCACCGGCGTGCGCTTCGACGGCTACTGTCGGAACTGCGAGAGATGGGGCCACAAGGCATCCGAATGCTGGAGGAAAGAGCAGGGATCGAGTACGAGGGCTGGAACTGGATCCGCACCGGGGGCAAGCGCTGGTGGTAAAGGTGGCAGCCGCGGCGGCAAGGCCGGCGGCAAGGCGGCAGGCAGCCTGGAGGAGGAGCCTGAGGCGGAGGTCGCCGCTCTGGACCTGGGCAGCTTGGACTGCCTGGAGCTCGCCAGCGGCAACGGCCGCGGCGTAGCGGCGGTCGACCTCTCCCCCTTCGTGCAGGACGACTGGATGAAGTTCAACTGGGACAGCGGTGCAGCTGTCTCAGCATTCCCTCGGAGCTTCGCGCCGCCGACGGGAATGAAGGGCAAGGGCAGCACGTATCGCACGGCCAGTGGTGAGCTCGTCCCGGACGAGGGCAGCATTTTTTATTTTTTTTTTTTTTTTTTTTTTATTTTTTTGTTTTTTTTGCTTGTTTTTCTTTTTTTTTTTTTTTTTTTTTTTTTTTTTTCTTCTTTTTTTTTCTTTTTTATTTTTTTTTTTTTATTTCTTTTTTTTTTTTTCTTTTTTATTTTTTTTTATTTTAGTTTTTTTTTTTGCTTTTTTTTTTTTTTTTATTTTTATTTTTTTTTTTTCTTTTTTTTTTTCTTTTTTTCTTTTTTTTGTTGTTTTCTTTGCTGTTTTTGCAGCTCAAGGCGGAGGACGAGAACGGAGTGCTACGAGCGCTCAAGGGACGCGTGACGAACGTGCACAAGCCGTTGATCTCGGTGGGGCAGGCAGCAGGAGCTGGACAGTGTTCATTCCTAGGCCGCAATGGCGGCTGGATATTCCACGAGAAGAGCCCAATCGGCAAGCGCGTGGTAGGCATGCTGGAGAAGGAGGCGAAGACGGCGAAGCACCAGATGCTGCCGGTCTATCGTGAGCAGGGAGTCTACAACTTCTACCTCAAGAAGGGCCAACATGGCTCGGTTGCTCCTCTCGAGGAGGGACTTTCGGCGAAGTCGAAGTCCGAGCTGGTGGAGCTCCTCAGCAGCAAGTCGAAGGAGGAGCTGCTGGAGATCTTCGAGAGGACAGTCCCCAGGAGGCAGCCCTTGGCGTAAGTCCACTGGAAGACTCAATACCGCGGTCCCCTGCGGCATTGGCTGCAGGGGTGGCAGAGGCGGGGTCGGGACCTTCCGACATGAGACCGCCGGGTTTTCAGCCAGCGGCAGCTGCCGCGGCCGACTTTTTGCCAGCTGCTCCTGATGGACAGCAGGCCGACGAGGGCGAGGAGGAGGCTCGCCCGAGGGTGCTGAAGGCACCTCACGAGCCCTCTCAGAGGGAGATCGTCGAGCACGAGGCGATGGGACACGCGACCTACCGCAGCTGGTGTCGCGTGTGTATTGCGGCAAAGGGCCAAGGCCAGCCGCATCTCCGCGCACCGGAGGACGACGAGACGGCGGTGCCGGTGGTCTCGTCCGACTACGCCTTCATGGGCCAGGACGACGCGGACACCATGCCGATGCTGGTCCTTAGGGATCGACGCTCGAAGATGATGGCAGCGACATTCGTGGAGAAGAAGGGCGACGACGCCTACGCCATCAAGTTCTTCGCACGCTTCTTACGGATCCTGGGCTACAGGAAGATAGTCAACAAGTCCGACGGAGAGCCAGCGATCCTGCTGGTCAAGAGGCGTGCGGTGGAGGAGGTTCCTGGCCTCGAGGCCATTCCCCAGGAGTCGGCACCGGCCGATCATCAGGCCAATGGGGAGATCGAGGTCACGGTGCGCGAGATCAAGAAGCAGGTGCGGGCGCTCAAGATGGACCTGGAGTCCAAGCTGGGCGTCAAGGTGGAGGACAAGCACCCAGTGCTGGCGCACCTGCCGGAGCACGCCGCATCGGTGATCAACCGATACAGGCGCGGCCAGGACGGCAAGACCGCTCTTCAGCGGCTCACGGGACGGCAGTGGAGGACGCCGGTCCCGCTCTTCGGTGAGCGCCTGATGGTGCGGTTCGCCGGGGAGCGCGCGAGGAAGAACGCGCTGGAGGAGCAGATGGTGGAGGCTCGCTACATCGGCCACCACCCGCGCGACGGCTCGATGATGGACATCACGAGCGACGGTGTGAAGAAGGCGGTCGGCTTTCGCAGCCTGCCGCAGAGCGAGAAGTGGATCACGGCGGGCTGGGACAGCCTGAAGGGCCTGCCGTGGGACGTGGCTCCGCGTGCGGCAGTGCGCCGCGAGCCATCGTCGGACCGGGAGAGGCCGGTCCGCCACCGATTGTGGTGGTGCCGCCGCAGCCGCAGGCGCCGAGGAGGATGTACGTTCTCAAGGCGGACGTCGAGCGGCTGGGCGCAACGCCGGGATGCCCAGGGTGCGTCTCGATCGCCAAGCACGGGAAGGTGCTGGCTGGCCATGCGCACAACGCGGTGTGCAGCAAGAGAATCTTCGAAGCGCTGGACGCTGAGGAGGCAGGCCGGGAGAGGACCGGCCAGTATCGAGAGCGGAGGCAGGGCCAAGAGGCCAGAGTCCGCCCGGCGGCAGCGGCCGCGGCAGGGACCCCTCCGCCGAAGACGGCTCGGAGGATCACCGAGCCGGTGGCAGCGGCGGCGTCGGCGCCGGCCGCGAGCCGATCGGCAGCAGCGCCAGCCGCAGCGGCGCGCATGCGAGAGAGCCAGCCGGGAGCATCAGGCTCCGGCGTGGCGGCTCCTTCAGGAGGAGCGAGCTCCAGTTCGGGAGCAGTGAGAGCGGCAGAGGCCGCCGAGGCTGTCGACATGACCGCGACCAGGTCGCGGCTGAAGCGCTTGGCGGAGGTGGCCCCGGATGACGTGCCGGAGGCCCTCGAGCGCGGTGATCCACAGCCGGCAGTCGTGCCGGTACCGGTGGACATGGAGGATCTCGCGGCGCAGCCGGCGCCAGCGGAAGGACCTCAGCTGCCAGCTGGAGTGGCAGTCGTGTGGAACGCCAGTGAGGGGAGACACATGCGGGTGCTCGCTCTCGACGTGGCGTCGATCGAGCTGGTCGAGCTCGGAGTGCTGACGAGAGCGAAGGCGGAGTTGCTCCCGCTCGTTCGCGAACAGGTCAGCGGCCATTGGGCCGGCGTCGGCGTGGACATCGCCGACGAAGAGGTGGACAGCATCGCCTTATCGGCGTTGCAGCTGGGCGCCGTGGACGTGGCAGAGGTGTACTCGCCACATCGGTTCTCGGCTCGGGCGGCGGAGTTTCAGCTGCGCCCGGGCTTCGCGGCGGACCTGGAGGAACTCAAGGAGGACGGGGCGCCGTGGGACTTGCGGCGACCCGAGGATGTCAAGGAGCTGGTCGCGCATCCAGGAGTCTTCACGGTCAAAGGCCCCATGTGTCGGTGGGGCATGAAGCTCACGAACCCACGCAGTGGCCAGGAGGAGTTCGTGCGCAAGGAGACCGGGTGGGTCACCAACCACCCAGGCTTAGCCCGGAGACTGCAGGGCATTTGCAGCAATGTGGACGGACGCGCGGAGTGGCATCGCCACATCACGCTCGTGGGCGGCATCGCGCGGTTTGCGAAGGTCTATCCACCGAAGTTGGTGGAGGCGGTGCTGGAGGAGCTCAAGGACACGCTGAATGACGTGGGGGAGCTCAGCACCGCCCAGGGGCAGCAGTCGGGCCCAGTCCCTGTGGGCGCGGCGGTGCCGCCCGGGGACTGGACGAGCTACTGGGACGACGTCAATGGCGGCTACCTGGAGGCGGGCCTTGTGGCCCAGGCTCGCGCGGTCGAGCGCGAGTGGGTCAAGAAGCAGGAGCTGATCGAGATCGTCCCGAGGTCTCAGGCTTTCGCTGAGACTGGGCGTCCGCCCATCCCACTCAAGTGGGTCGACGCGAACAAGGGTGACGCGGAGAGGCCCAACTACAGGAGCAGGCTCGTCGTGAAGGAGATCAAGGCGAAGAAGCGTCCTGACGAGCAGCTGGAGGCGTCCGAGGTCTTCTCGGCAATGCCTCCGCTGGAGGCCATGCGGTCGCTGGTCTCGCTGATGGTCACGTGGACGCGGGAAGCGCCGCTCCACATTCAGGAGTCGCTTCGCAAGAAGGGCAGGAAGCCGGGCAACTTCAAGATCGGCTTCTTCGACATCAGCAGGGCGCACTTCTACGGGAAGGCGCAGCGGAGGATTTTCGTGGAGCTGGAGGAGGAGAGTCGCAAGGAGTACGGTGAGGACAAGTGTGGCTTACTCCTCAAGTCCTGGTACGGCACGCAGGACGCCAGCAAGATCTGGCAGGGCGACTACACGGAGCTGTTGGAGGAACACGGCTACAAGGCGGGCGTGTCATGCCCAGCGGTCTTCTACAAGGAGGTGGACGAGACGAGGCTGCTGGGGCACGGCGACGATTTCGCGGTGCTGGCTCAGCAGCAGGACATCGACAGCTTCGAAGCCACGTTAGGCAAGAAGTACGAGTTCAAGAAGACTGCGAACCTCGGCTTCGACGAGGGCGACGACAAGCAGGCGGTCTTCCTGAATCGGGTCATCGAGGTCAGTGCGGGAGTTCCGCCTGGCGGTGGCCGACCCTGCCGGCATGCGATGATCGAGCCGGACAAGCGGCGCGCAGAGATCGTGATCGACGAGCTGGGTCTCAGCAAGGCCAACGGCGTGGACACGCCGAGGGAGAAGCGCAGCGCCGACAAGCAGATGATGGACGCGAAGTCGGCGGCGCTGGGAACGGCGGAAGCTTCGCGCTT